TCCCGCCGCCCCAGAACGCCGGAGTCCAGCCCGCCCTCTGTGCCATCCTCCCAGCTGATTGGCCTCTCCCCCTCTCAGGGCTGGCCTCAGCATTCCTCCGGCGATGCCGCTGCGCTACCCAGCTGAGCTGCAGCTTGGGAGCAGCCGGCACACGGCCGGCAGGTGTTCCGTGGCCCCTCTGCCAGGGCGCACACCCCCTGGGGCTTAGTGCGGGGTCTTGGTGCCCCATCACACAGGGCATGCAGTACTGCTGGAATGTTTTGCCTATGGGGTACTGTGATGCACCCACAATCTTCCCCACTTCTTTAAGAAACATGCTGGAAAAGGAAGGACTGTTGGAAACAGGGAAAATAGTGCAGTATGTGGATGATATCTTGGTGCTACAGCTTTTGAACTGCTGCCAAGAGTATGGTTTGAAACTTAACCCCTCTAAATCCCAGATCAAACAGAGAGAAGTGCAGTATCTTGGGATCAAAGTGAGTGAAGGGGAAAGGTCTGTTGACAAAGAAAGAGTTAAGTGTATTGTTAACCTTCCTATACCAGTAGATACTAAATCACTGCAGTCTTTTCTGGGGTTAACTAACTTTTGCTGAGAATTTATGGTGGGCTATTCAGAGAAGGCAGGTCTGCTGTATGAGGTATTAAAGAGACCACAGTGGACCTGGACTAAGGAAGCAACTAGTGCATGGGAAGGTTTGAAAAAGGGGTTAATGGAAGCACCTACTCTGGCTGCCCCTAACAATGAATTTCCCTTTGTACTGTATCCTAATGCTCACTCAGGATACCCGTGCTGGGGAAAAACCCATTGCATACTACAGCAGAGCCTTAACCCCTCTGGAAACTAAATTGGGAACCTGTGAACAAACTGCTCTTGCTGCAAAAAGCCCAGGCAATTATTGGAGCAAGTAAAGTGACTGTGAAAAGCCATCATGCCCTAGGAAAGTTACTAAGTTAGGAAAATGTATCCAAGGGACATGTGAGAGTGGATAAGGCCATACAGTGGGTCTTTGCTCTCCTGACAGAGAATGTTCAGTTAGTCACTTTGAAAGAACCTGAAATATCTGTATGGGGCCCGACCTTAAGTGGTCAGGAACACATCTGTGAGCCCCAAGAGGAATCCAGAGCACACCCTGCCTTTAAGGCAACCCCTATTGAACAAGTATTGGGAAAAACAATTTGGTTTGTGGATGGCAGGTCATACTACATTGCAGGGAAGAGGGTCACTGGATTTGCAGGAATATGCTTGATGGGAAACCGGCAGAGAATTGATTCTTTTCACTATAAATTACACAAAGGAGGGACACAGGCAGTGGAAGTATCAGCTATATTGGAGGGGGCAAACAAGCTGAAATTATTATTGGAACTGACTCAGGTTATGCTTACAGAGGGACCACCATTTACCTCCCATGGTGCAATACCATTGGTTTTACAGGAACTGATGGATCGGAGATCAAACACAAAGCCCTCTGGCAGCAAATAGAAAAACTGGCAGCCCATTACAAAAAAGTCAGGATGGTCAAAATAAAAGCACATAGAGGGAAAGGTCCATTACAACATGGAAATGAAGAGGCAGACCACCTTGCTGAAGAAGCAGCACTCACTGGAACATTATGGGAACCTATGCTGGCAGCAGTAACCACCTGGACACAGGCTAAACATGAACAAAAAATTGAAGAAAGTAACCAGGAAGGGGTGCTGTTATTACAGGACACGCAGGCAACCAATGAGTTACTAAAGCAATGGAAGGCAGAATGCCCCTCACAGTGGCGAGGAGTTCCCTTAAAAAAAGGAGACTTAATTATGGCGAAACCAGGCACTGACTGGGTTTTAGCAATAACTGAGAAAATGCAACACCTCCTTCTAGCCTGGATACATGGTTCTGTTGTAGGGGGCCACCCAAAATTGGAAAAGGCACTGGCAAAAACTTAGAAAGCTTGGATGGTGGCCAGAAATGAAAGAGGATTTGGAGATACATATTCATAGTTGTCTAATCTGTGCTCAGCAAGACCCTGCTAGAAGGAAAAGGAGGGGGGAGCTAATGCATCAAGCATTAAAAGGTCCCTTACATCGATTACAGGTGGACTTTGTAGGACCCCTGCCCACAACACCCAGGAAGAATAAGTGTTTTTTTGTAATTGTAGATAGTTTCAGCAAATGGATGGAAGCAGTCCCCGCTAGAAAACAGTTGGGCAGCTGCAAGTCTTGGTAACAGAAATTTTTCCTAAATGGGTCTCCCTCTCAGTATCGATTCCGATAATGGAACAGCATTTATTGGACAAGTGTTCCGGAACATGGGTACATGGGCTGGTATTCCATTACCACTGCACATTCCCTACCACCCTCAAGCAGGGGAAAAAGTACAGCACAAGAATAAATCTCTTAAAACTGAGCTGTCCAATGTGTGCAACTAGGACGTGATACTCCCATGGGTTCTTACGAAGATCCGGAGCCGTCCAAATCATCTGACAGGATTCAGCCCTTATGAAATACTTTTTGGGAAACCCATGCTGGGCTGGGAAAACTTATTGTATCCTCCAAATTGGGAAACTATAACAGCCTTGGCAACAACCACCTAGATTCATGGTCACCAACCGGTCAATTGCGATTGACTGGTCGATTGCGAGGCCTCGACCAGTCA